TAATCCGAGAACCCAACATCGACAGTGTCACAAACACGAAAAGGCAACTCATTTAATACAATAATAACATCAATGAGTGTTTCAGAAAAATTGGTGATACGAGTTGGCTGAGATTAATATTAAAGTCACCCAAAATTGTTACTCTATCCATTGACTTATCCTCTGATTGCTCTTTTTGGTATTATAAATATTCGTTCAGCTCTTGGGGAATTTCCCCAAAGCAACACTATAAGACATAATGCTTAGGAAATTCGAGTAATACACAATAATCTCGTCACTGTTCTTAGCTGAAAAACTACTGAACTGAGTTTCTTTCCAACTTTATGCATCTGTGCATTCCATTTCAAAGAACTCTCTAGGAATACTCCCAGTAGTTTAGCAGCTGTTGCATCAGTGGATTTTGTATGAAACTCAATTCTTTGTGTTTTTTTTTCACTTATAGTGATTCCGTCAAAACTGATGATATTGATAGCGCAGTATCAGTGCTTATAGTGTCTTCCGCACCCTATTAGTGGTATATGTCGGAGCAGTTTCGAGCTTAAACCTGTAAATGGTAGTTCTAGTCACTTTCTAGAGGACAGTGTTCTAGCACAGCAGAACATCCATTGGTAGAGTTGGCCTTGTGGTTATTATTAACTTTTTGACATTCAATTTAATTAAACGTCACTTTTGACGTTAACTTAACCTCAAATTAATTTATAAATTTAGATGTAGGCAACCATTAAATCCATGGCAACGGTTTGTTGATTATCTTGAAATATCACAAATTAAATTAAGTCTTAATTAAAAAGATTTATTTATAAAACTTAATAAAATTGAATTAAAAATGTGGTTAATAATACAATTAAAGTCCGAGTTGTGTTTTTAAAACTCTCATTTTGCAATAAATTTCATCCCAATCGACGAAATAACCAACTAAAAATCGTTTGATGTTTGTGGTGTCTTCGTACCCGATTCTTCCATGGACTAATCTCGTGTTATCGAAGGCTAGGATGTCGCCTAAAATGTTATTTATTATATTACTTTTTACTTTGTAACAAATAATTTTGATTTATGTACCCGGTTCCGTTTTGAATTCGGCCGCGCTTTCGTATAACTTGGTGATGAATACTTTTAAAGCTCTGTACCATGGTTTAACGTTGCTTAAATTAACGGTGAAATGAGAATCTCTTTGGGGAATTGAATGTCTTATCGATGAAACGTTTCCGTATTTATCTAAACTAAAATGTTTATTATTATTATTATTAATTTTTGTTAATTTAAAGAAATTATTTACGAAATAACTGGCGCTCGGTGTATTTTATAAAATCTAACACCGTCCTCTTCACCGATATCGGACCAATTCACTTCCGTTTGACTTAACAGATCGAAAGCTTCTTTATTTTCTTTTCTGAGCAACTCAGCTACGTAAAAGCCGTCTGATAATAAATTCTCTCCCCCTTTATTTTTAGTTTGAACTATACAATGTAACATATTCACCTAGAAAAAGGAAAAAAAATTAAAATTAAATATTTATTATTAAGTTAAAATTATTTTTTACCCCAGGTTTGTAATCGTAATAAGGTAAATCGGTGTGAAGTTGTAAAGGACTCGATAAATAAGCGACGTTATTTGTGTCTGCTTTAGCTACAATGTGGTAATCTTCCCTAAAATATACTCAAATTAATTTCATTTTTTAAAATTATTACTAAAACTAGAACTAGAATCATTAGGCTAGTTCTAGGATTAGTCATAGTTTTAGTGATAAGGTTAATTCTGGTTCTAGTTTTATTTCAATAACAACTTTACGCTGAATAATAACTAAAACTAGAGCTAGCACTAAACTTAGAACTAGAAACATTCGGGTTTAGCCGCACGTCTCTCAAGACGGCTAAACCCGAATGATTCTAGTTCTAGATTTTGTGTTAGTTCTAATTTTAGTTCACTAATAATACACAACCTAGCACTATGTAGTGCTAACTAGTGTTACGTACTAGACCTGTTACTAGACCTAACACAAAATCTAGAACTAGAAACATTCAGGTTTAGCTGCACGTCTCTTAAGACGGCTAAACCGGAGTGATTCTAGTTCTAGATTTTGTGTTAGTTCTAGTGATAGTGCAAAACTGTAACTAACACTAGACCTAGAACTAGAATCATTCGGGTTTAGCCGTCTTGAGAGACGTGCGGCTAAA